TGAGGCTGCCTTGCTTCCCTTCAGAAAATCTACATTTTAACCAACTTACATGACATTCTATATTATGTTGACTTTATCACATGAAAGTTTATAGTGCATTTCATCAATTAATAAATAAATGTGAAAATCGTAATTTTCAACACAAATAATAGTCTCGCTACCTTAAACAAGTCATTGATAATGACACAGTTAATTGCAATTAGAGAAAATGTTATTCATGCCTAAGATATAAAGCAAGACAAGATTACTGCAAGTCAGTCATCTTTAATCTGATCACAAATTGAATTGTTATGGACATGTATTGCTACTTATATAATAAATGTGGACAAATTAGACATGCAAATCACTGGTCATGTGACCAAGTAAATTGTTTCTGAATGAATTTGTAAGCATGGTCAGTAATTGAGAGTGAATAGTATGTGTACATGTATGTCAACATGTGTAATGTATGTCCCGAATTTGAATGAAGCCGACAAAAAGATGGCTGTCCATCGACCATCTTTAATCCAAGTTAGAACTTTGAATAAAAACTGACAAAGGATGTCAAATATACATTTTCAAAAAATCAAGGTGGCTGCCAGTCGGCCATCGTTGGTCCAATCGTGAAACAAATTGTCATGGACATGTATCCTAACTTTGAACACAAACTGACAAGGCATGTTCAAGATATGGCATTTTGAAAAAAGCAAAATGGCTGTCAGTTGGCCATCTTGGATCTTAAATTATCACTTAACCACTGCATGTCCCACATGAAGTACTGGGCACATGCTATTAAAGTGAACAGTTCAGTGCAGAGGATCTGAAATACGACTCTGGGCGGATGGTCAGGCAGATGAAGACCAATTTAAAAGTTCCAGGTTCAAACTGTGTTCGAATACAGACTAGTCTCCAAATATATGTTTCAAATATATGTTTTTGCTTGGGTAACACTATGAACATTGTCTCTTCTGACTTGTTTTATGTACATTGCCAAGTGCAAGGCAGTAAACATGTATATACATGCAGAGATATTTAGGACAACTTCAGCAACACGATAATCTTCCTATCAAAATGAAATAATGGTTACAAAATAATAATCAAAGTATCAATGAACAACTTACCATTGACTTTAACAGCAAACTCACAAGTGATTGATTGACCTTGATCTTCAGCTGTGAGTATGATATTATATTGATTCTTATTGAACTCCAGTGTAATTGGGAAGGTAAACACTTCCCCTTTCCATTTATAATCGATTGGTCTGTTATTACCATCAACTGCCCGTATTATTAGGTCTATAAATGCCCAATTTTCGCCATATTCCACATCAAAGTGTAGCGGCCCTCACTTGGGCAGTCAGTAAACCGTGGACCAGTACCTGAACATGTACAAAGTGTGAGAACTATAAACAGGGCATGTGTACAAACAACAACTAGAATTGTTGCAAGATTAATATTTAGTGGATGCAATTAATATTCACATGTATATCATTTCATGCATTGATTACTGGGTCAATAGTCTTTATGCAAAAAAAGCAATCACGGAACAAAATCTAACACTTTTTATTTCAGGTTTGCTACACCACACTGACCAAGTAAGTATAGCACAATGTACATTTTCAGAAATTTACAGAAGAATATAACTTTGGATTTTCTGGATTATTATTTACTCAAGATATTAAATAATGAGAAAATGTTGTTTTTTTCATTGAGTAAGCTACAATGTATAACTATTATTTTGACCATGACAAGTAAGACATGTTGATGTGCAAAACCCACATTGCATAATAGTGTGAGTTTGTATTATTGGCGATCCGCTCCGCTAGGATTGCCCTTATAATCACTTTTGTCGTTTTGTGTGTGTTTGTGTCTGTGTGTGTAACATTTCCAGTGTTCCAGTGTTCACGTATTATTTCTTCTGTGATTTTTTTGGCTTGGCCGATTTCGTTCAAACTTGGCAGGTAGGTCACACCTTAACCCTAGTTATAAGGAAAAATCTGGAAAATTTTTTTGGCACACCGTTGCCATAGCAACAGCCAAAAAACTGATTTTTGGATAGCTTCGCGCCAAATGTATCTCCTCCTACAAATTTGGGATAAAATACTTCAAACATAGCTCATTCTACTCAGCTTGAGTGTGGGCACAAAGTTACCATTTGAATTTTTGATATCTGTTTTCATTACCGAGAAATTTGACCCCAAAGTTGGGGTAACTTTTCACCAGCAACGGCTCGGCTGGTTTTGTTCATACTTCACAGGTAGGTCGTGCCGTCACTAATTGGAAAAAAATCCTGGCCCACCACTGCCATTGCAACATCCAAAAACTGACTTTCGCCCCAAAT